GCTCGATAATAATTTATTGAGAATTTTTGCATCTGTATTCATAAGGAATATTGGTCTATAGTTTTGTATTCTTGTGATGTCTTTATCTGGTTTTGATGTCAGTAAAATAGTAGCCTCTTGAATGAGTTAGAAAATATTACATCCTCTTCTATTTTGTTCTTGTTTTTGGAAGAATTTCTGAAGGAGTGGTGTTAATTCTTCTTTAAACATTTGGTAGAATTCACCAATGATGCCATTTGGTCTTAAGCTTTTTTCTGTGGGGGGTTTTATTAGTTGACATGCACTTTTTATTGCTAGTGACACTAAAATTTTATTTTTACTGTTGTTTCTACTTGTTACTTTTTTCTTTTTAATTTTAATTCCAGTATAGTTAACATACAGTGTTATATTTGTTTCAAGTAATAGTGACTCAACAATTCCATACATCACCCAGTGCGCATCACAAGTTCATTCCTTAATCCCCATCACCTGTTGACACTAACATTTTAGAATATATTGTTTTCATTTATAATCCTTTTAGGTACATCTGAAATTTTAATCCTTGCATTGATCTGTCACAGTGTTTTATATAAAATAGGTATATACAGGTATTCCCCACTTTTTGAAAGTTCACGTTGTGCCACTTCGCTTTTGTAAAAGGCCTACATTAGTACTTGTTTTAGTAAGTGAAAGAAATCTGAAGATGATTTTCACTTTCACACAAAAAAGCCCAAGTTGAAGACCGCACTCTGCATTGGTTTTGCAGCAAGTCATTATAGAGGCAGTGCACACCGCAAGCAACGAGACTGGCGCTGCCGAGCTCCTTCCCTGGAAACTGTCCACGGTAGCTCTGCATCAAGCCGCCAGAGCTTTGAGCTCTGTGAGCATCCGTGCTTTATCGCCATTTAGTTTGTGCATGTATTAGCAAGATGTGTCCTAGGGTATCAGAAAAGGCTTTACAAGGTGATTTTTTTGGTCTGGGAATACCCCCCAAATTTTCCACATACCATAGTGGTAATTGCTTCTTCACTTCACAGCATTTTGACTTAACAAAAGGTTTCACAGGAATGGTCTACTTTTGGATAGTGGAGGAAACCTGTAATACTTTTGAATAGTGGAGGAAATCTGCAGAGGGCAAGTTTCTCCTCATTACTCTTATTATTTTAAAGGATATTTACTTTTTAAAAGGTAAAATCATAACTGTCATACAGGCAAAAAATGAATATTAACATTTATATCTTATAAAATATAGAGTTGATATCTCATTAATTCATGAGGAAACCATTAAGATGTGACAACAGGTTTGAAAAAGAATTCAATGAGCCACACATCTCAAGGCAGAAGGAGGGCGCCTGGGTGGCTCAGTTGGTTAAGCGACTGCCTTCGGCTCAGGTCATGATCCTGGAGTCCCAGGATTGAGTCCCGCATCGGGCTCCCTGCTCGGCAGGGAGCCTGCTTCTCCCTCTGACCCTCCCCCCTCTCATGTGCTCTCTGTCTCTCTCATTCTCTCTGTCTCAAATAAATAAATAAAATCTTTAAAAAAAAAAGGCAGAAGGAATGCTGAAGTGAATTTACGAATAGATGCAGAACTAGCTTATTCCATAGGTAGAAGAGGTATATTCATCAGAGTTCTCCAGAGATAAGAACTACTAAGATATATAGATATATAGAGATGATAGAGATATATCAGAGATTTTTATAGGATCTGGCTTATGTAGTCACTGAATGTTGAGAAGTTTCATAGTCTGCCATGAGCAAACTGGAGAACTAGAAAATCTGATGGTTTAACTTCTTCTGAGGCTGAAGGCCTGAGAACCAGGAATTTCAGTGTTTGAAGGCAGGAGAAGATGGATGTCCCAGCTCAAGGAAAAAGAGAAATAATTCACCATTCCTTCACCTTTTTGTTCTATTCAGCCATCACTGGATTGGATGATGCCCCCAGCATTAGTCAGAGTGAATCTTCTTTACTTGGTCTACTGATTCAAATGTTAATCTCTTCTGGGGAAGCACGTTCACAGACATACCCAAAAACAATGTTTTACCAGCTCTGTAGGCATATCTTAGCCCAGCCAAGTTGACATGTGAAATTAACTATCACAGAAGGGAACTCAATGTCCTTCATTAGATATACTTCATTTGAGTGTTACTGGTTAATGTATTAGTTTGCTAGAGGTGCCTTAATATAATGCCACAGACTGGAGAATTTAAACAATGGAAATCTTATATTCTCACAGTTCTGGAGGCTGGAAGTCCAAGATTAAGGCCCTGCAGGTTTGGTTTCCGGTGAGGCCTCTTTCCTTGTCTTGCAGACAGCAGGCTTTTTGCTGTCCTCATATGGTATTTTCTCTATGTGCACACTCCTGGTGTCTTTCCTCTTTATATAAACACACCAATCCTATTGGATTAGGACCCCACTCTATGACCTCATTTAATCTTAAGTATCTCCTTAAAAGGCCCTATCACCAAATACAGTCACATTGGAGGTTAGAGCTTCAACATAGGAATTTGGGGGAGAGAGGGACAAAATTCAGTCCATGATAGTTATCTACAATTTACAAGAGTTGTAAAGTTGCTCAGACAATGAAAAGTGTAGAGACCCCACACTTAGATACCTAGATGATGCCTAATTTTCAACTGAAGATATTTCCTTTGGAGATATTCCATTGAAGATATTTCCATTGAAGAAAGTCATTTACATTTTCCCCTACAATGAAAAAAAAAGTATTTGCTATTCTTATGTTTATTTATCCAAATAAATTTTACAATACTGTTGTATAGTTTTTACAATTGTGCTAAAATTTAAACTAGTATGGTTTAAAATTTTAAAACATGGTGAGAGGAATTTTACATTGGTATTTTACTATATGTTTCTATCCAGGAACATTTGAGGGTTTTGTTTGTTTGTTTGTTTGGTTTTAAGCTCTCATTAAATCTTTGCAGTTTTCATCATTTGGATTCTGAACAATTCTTAACTTCAAAGTAATTTATCTTGGTATTGTGAGGGAAATTCCTATTTGCTTTATAGTTTTTAAAATAGTTATCACTGGAACCTAGTGGTTTTTAAAAATAATGAGTTCTGTACCCATCATCTTACATTTATTTTTATTTTTACATTCATCCTTATAGCTGGGTAAATTGAGAATGTAAGTAATTTGACTACTCATGGTTCCAGTAAGAGCAAATTGATTACATCTAAGAATAGTGTGTCTGTCTCTGCATGTGTACAAGTGTGTGTTGGGAGGGGGCTGGGTAGGAACTTGAGACAACTATCTTAAGGATGTCTTCTTGGAATTAACGCTATTTATCTTGGAGACCTAGATTCCCAGAGCTGGATTAACCATTTCCTGTGATATGGCCTCTCCTGGTTTTGGAAGGAACTAGGAAACAAGGGTTAATTGTACAAGTAATGAAGTTCCTTGAGATCCGTGGTCCATTAGCATATAAGTTACTTAACTGCATATAGCTCTTCTCCAGATTTCTGGATACTACTGTTAAAAAAAATGTTTTGATTTAGATTTTATTCCTTTGCTCTTGGAATACTCAGCTTTCTCTGACACAGAGTTCCAGGCTTTTTCAAGTCTACTTAAGTCAAAGTAAGTGGCAAGCAACCTCATGAGAGCTACAGTAGCATTAAGCATTCCCTGGGATACCTACAGAGATCATCTGGAAGGGATTATTTGTTTCAACAGATTTTCAATGCAGATAAAACCTGTCCATTTTGGAGAGAGAGGTCAGAGAACATATACCAGCCCAGGGAAGAATATGTCGGGTTTTAAAGCTCCAATCGCTTCATACTTCTATTTAACATCCTAGACAGGCATCTAGAGTTACACCCCTCCTGGAGACTTAGGAACAAATGCTTTCATCTTTTGATACACTGATCTTTTGAAACCAAACATGTTCCTAAATCGAGGAACACTGTACTCTCACATCTTCCGAGAAGCTTTCCCTAACCCCAGCCTACCTCCCAAATTGAATTACCCCTTGTCTGAAATCTTACACCACCTCATTTTATTCTTCTATGGCCTTGGCACCGTCTCCATTTGTGTTGTTCATGCTGCCGATCTTACCTCCCGCACTGTGCAGACAAGATCCTGCCTGATTGGGCATCTCCCACTGCACTTACCCAAATGCTTTGCATATAGGAGATGCTCAAGATTAAGAAATTTTCAGGATGGATATTTTGCTAATCTGTAGTACCTGGAATTTTCTACTGAAAATTACCAACGTCCAATTAACTTCAATTTCGTAGTTTGGGATTTTCAGAAAACTACGCCCCCCCTTCAAGAAATGCCTAACAATTTAACCAGGGCTAGTGCCAGTTTAGGAATAAGACATTATCAACCCACTTCTATCACATAAGGATTTGAGGCCTATCTTCATCTTTCCACGTTGTCTAATTCAAGTTAGGGTGGTAAAAGAGAACCTTTTTTCTTTTAGCAGTCTGGTCTGCTCCCCTTCTCTGGCCTCATTCTTTCCTTTTGTTAGTCAATGACTTCAGCCTCTGCCTTCAAGTTTAACGGTTTGTGCCCCACGCGTACCCCCTCGTCTTTTGGTGATTAGAGGTGTTCAAAACTTATTCTGACACAGAATCCTCCCTCATTTCCGATTCCTTTACTTCTTGGGGGTGGGAAGAGTTTCTTCGCTTTGAAACGCTGACAAGGAAAAAGAATGGGGGAGAAAGTTGCATTTAAACGTTTCAAAGTGGAGTCACGGCTAGTTGCACAGCAAAAGCTCCGCAGCGTGGAGGAAGACCAAACGTGGCCTGGATGGCGCAGCGTTGGGCTGGGGCGACTTCTGGGGAACGTAGCCGGGGTCGAACCCCTAGAGCTGCGGAGGCCTCTGCGGTCGCCTCGTGCTCGCCCTCCGCACCCCCCCCCCGGCCCCGGCGGCGTTGGGCTCCCCGCCGGGACTGATGTCGCGCGCTTGCGTGCTGCGGCCAAAGCTTCCGACCCAGAGGCGGCCCCAGAAAGCCCCGAGCGAGTAGGGGGTGGCGCGCAGGAAGGGAGGAGGGCCGGGGGCGTGGGGGGGTGTGGGCATTCGGGGGTGGAGATGTAGAAGATGTGACGCCGCGGCCCGGCCGGTGCCAGACCAGCGGATGCGGTGCCCGCGGTGCTGCCGGATCCCGGGCGCTGCAGCGAGGGCAGGCGGCCCTCCCGAGCGCGGCGGCCGCGGAGACACCCGGCGCTAAACCCCAGCCCCCGAGCCCCCGGCGCACCGCGCACTCGGACAGCCGGGGAGGGGAGCGGCCGAGCGGCTCGAGGCTGGGGGCCCGCGGGCGCGGCCGCGCGCTGCCGGGCGGGAGGCTGGGGGGCCGGGGCCGGGGCCGGGGCCGGGGCCGTGCCCCGGGCCGGGTCGGGGGCCGGGGCCGGGGCCGGGGCCGAGGGGCGGCGGCTCCCCGCGCCACTCCAGGGGCGCGGGGACCCCGGCAGAGCCCCGGTGGGGCCATGGCAGCCGGGAGCATCACCACGCTGCCCGCCCTGCCTGAGGACGGCGGCAGCGGCGCCTTCCCGCCCGGCCACTTCAAGGACCCCAAGCGGCTGTACTGCAAAAACGGGGGCTTCTTCCTGCGCATCCACCCCGATGGCCGAGTGGACGGGGTCCGGGAGAAGAGCGATCCTCACAGTGAGTGCTGGCCGGCTCCTCCTCCCCCATCCCATTTCCATCTCCTGTGGTTCTTCCCCCACCCCTCCATTCCAGCTTCTTCCTTCTCTTCACTCCGACCTTAGCGGGACGTGTGGTTTCTTTCCGCGCAGCCCTCGGCGGTTTCGGGTTCACCACTCGCCCCTCCTCCCCCGGAGCTGCGGTGCCGGGTTAGACACTTCCCCCGGCCTCGGAGTGTGCCACTTTCCCCTGGGAAACCAGGTCCCCTGGGCCAGAGCCGCAGGGTGCCCGGGCCTGGCCGGCGGGCTCCCTTCGCGCGCACAACCTGTTGCTTAGGGGATGCTGGCGGCGGAGAGGTGAGCGGGCTCGCGGAGATGCCGCCTGGGTCCCCACCCTGAAGTTCCAATCCCTTCTGTGCTGGGGGCGCGCAGTCCCGCGGACAAAGACGGAGGGACCGAAGCTGAATTAAGTGCTCTTTATTGGAAAAATACCTTCCCAGAGTCGTGCCCCGAAACTCCGACTTGGTAGGATCCGAGCCAGCGGGCACACTGCTCTCACCCATTTATTTCTGTTTTTTTTTTTCCTAATTGCCGAAAGCTTTCAGAGCAAAAGATATGGACTTTGTTAATAAAGTGCGACACACTTTTGTTTTAATAGTGACAGAAGCTGCAAAAACTTTAATCTTCCACCTGCAGTTATTAGCTTTGGGACCTTGAGCCTGTTTCCTCATACCTAAAGTGGGGGTAACGTCTACCTTGCATCAGGTTTGAGGATCAAATTAGAATTTATATAAAGTGCGCGGAGGACTCCTTTCACTAGTGTACACTTTCCTGTTCTGTAAAAAAACACACACACATCTATTTGTGGCTATAGAAATAACACTGGCCTGCAGTTACTGGTTCTCAAACTTGAGGGGTGCATTAGAATCACCTGGGGGGCTATAACACACTGCTGAACCTTGTCTCCCAGAGTTTGATTCCTTAGGTCTGGAGTGGGGCCTGATGATTTGCATCTCTGTCAAGTTCCCAGGTGCTGCTGACCTGGGACCACCCTTTGAGACCAACTGGTCTATAAAGTAGAGGAGGAAAAGGGCATAAAATGGGCTGATTAACAACACTGGCAGAATCTGAAAGAGAATCAGTATATTTTAACTGTCATCCTGTAAGTGTAGGTGAGACCTCCGTTTTAAAAGCTCTGTGTTTGGCCTTCCTTCCTGGGTTTCAGGTGAAGAATCTGCCCAGGGGCAGAGCTTCACTCCCCAGTAGTTACCTCTTTATCATAGGATGCTGATGGAATGTCATTCACACCTGTGAGGTGACGGAGGACGAGGCCAAAGCTTTGCCATCAAACCTGGGTTGATGAATGAGAAATGTGCTTTTATATTACTTGGGTCTTTATTGATTCCAAAATAACAACAAGCAAAAGATGCAGGTCTAGTTTTTTTTTCAGGCCTGCCGTAATTTTTAAATTTTATCAACCACTTATATTATCCAGTAAAACTGAAAAGATACTTGTAACCCAATATCTATGGGTTAGTGCTATTTCTCTATTTTAGTAACTTGAATAGGTTTCACAAAATTAAGTTTTAAACATTGTGTTTGAAGTTTTTTTTGCAGTTGTCTTCTAGGTCCACACAGCTGATTACGGTCAGGTGCATAAGTAGTTTTGTTCTTTTCTAGTAGCACAAACTGTAATAAAAAAGGAGCATGTTCTATGACTAGAAGACAGAAGAACTCTCCTCCAGATGAGGTTCATGGTGGGGCTTCCCCTAGTCCTTTTTTTAAGACACTTCATTAATTGCAGAATCATTTCTTTTTTTCTTTGAAGCTTTTGATACTCTTTCCTTTAGAATAAAATGGTATAGGGACTAGTGAATGAGGATAATTCTGAATTGCGTAGCACACTACCACCCTTGTAATAACAGCTGTTAAATTTTTCTTCCCAACTATGAGTTTTTCATAATCTTCTTTTAACTCACTGGTTCTCAAAGGGCAGCGATTTTGCCCCTGCCCCTCACCCCCAACATTTGGCAAGGCCTGGAGACACTTTTGGTTGATATTTGGAATAGTGCTGCTAGTACCTAGTAGGTAGAGGCCAGGGATGCTGTTAACCATCCTACAATGCCCAGGATACCTCCATTATCCCCAGCAAAAAATTTCCTGACCCCAAATGTTAATTGTGCTAAGGTTGAGAGTCCTGCCAACTTGATAACTAGCTAAAGACAGCATGTTGAGAGTGAAGAGTAGAATACTCATCCAAATTTGTGGAAGATAGGGATTTTTTAAAAAATCATCTTTTACCAGGCAATAGGCTGACAAGAATAAAAACCTAAAATGATGAATTTAGACCACGTCTGTGTAGCTCAACCTGGACATAAGTTTAAGTACAGTATATTTTTCTGGCATGTAAAAGATGTACTGATAGTTGACCAAAGCAGGGTAAGACTGATGGGAAAGACACAAGAAAAAGATGATTATGTACATGATATAACAATATCTTCCCAACCACATCTCCTCCATTACCCAAACAAATAAGACTGACAAGAAAACGTGAAGAAAGAAAAGCAGAGTTAATGGTTGGCATAATTTCCCACTAAATTATGGCTCAGATATCCAGACCTATTTGAAAAGTTGAACAACCCATGGCCTCATTCCTCAAACGGTTTTGTCCAGTTGACCTGAAAATCTCTCAGAGGTTTATTACTTTGGCATTAACATTTTTTGCCCAGATGTCTTCTAAAATCCAAATGCCTTTGGAAAGAACAGTTCAGTCATCAGATTTTAACATTTAGTGTGAGTTAAGTTGTGAGTATAATTTCTTCCCCCATAGCTGACTAGGACTGGAATTTAGGGAGGGATGGTATAAATGTGGGGTGCTGGTTAGGTGTGAGGGGTGTGGCTCAGGTGCTGAAAGAGAGACAGGGCAGGGAGGTGTGGGGCAGGGAGGGCAGAGGTAGAAATAAAAGGGGAGGAGGAAGATGACTGAACATCAATTTTCCAACTTCTCAGTGTTGTTGAAGGTCACTTTTGCTTCACACCTGGGTATTCTTCTGTGCTGTTCTCACTTGACAGGGCTGATTTTCCTGCACTTTCTTCATAGTCCTGGAGTAACTTTCTTTTGACATGAGAATTTTGATAAAAGCAAGATGTGGTGACAGAGTCTATGTTTCTCCAGTGTGTGTACTGCTCACCCAGCTTACTTGTGGTGTCCTAGATGTTTTGATTGACCTCTTCAAATGCCCATGGGATCGTGTAACATTAAGTATATACTTTAAAGCCGTGAACCATGTAAAAACTTCAGAAGAAAGAACATTTTATCCCAAAGAGCACGTACATACACCATGTGCTGGAGAGCAGTGAGTGAAATGTATGCTGCTTATGGACAGTTTAGCATTAAATGTGTTCCAGATGCTCTTATTTAGGAAAAAATGGCGGTAGTAGCCGTGCTGTTTCTACCCTTGGGCTTCTAGGAGGTGGCGGCCTGTTTGCCGTACTTCTCTGCTTCCAGGCTCCAGCGGACACTGAGACTTGGAAAGGCAGGGGGACCTGCCCACTCCTGTGTGGAGCAGGGATGGGATCCTGGCCCTCCTGACACCCGTGCCCTTTGCCACGGCGCGTATTCCATGCAATTCCAGTCATAAAAACAAGGGCTTGTGAAATTCAGAGGGAGGCGTCAGACCTTGTAGTTCACTGATCTTGTTTTATAGAAGAGAGGATTGAGGTTCAGAACAGTAACTGATGACCTGAGTTCATCTGCTGGTTTACCCAGTGATCATCCTGAGTGAGCTTCTTGCCCACCTGGGCCCTTGCCTTCTCTTCCTGCCCTCCCCCAGCCTCACTACACTCTTCCATTCAGTCCCAAGAGCACCCTCCAGGGCCCCCCCTTTGTGGGCTTCCTCCATTTCTTAGCACTGTGGCCAAGTGTGGAGTGGAGTTCTTACTAGTCCACAGGTTGCCTCTAGTTGTGTTCCTTGGGTATGGGATAAAGTCACCTTTCTTCTCTTCCTTCATATAAATAGCACTATTGATGCAGTGATACTAGATTCTCTCCCGCCATCTTTTTTGGGTAATATCTGGCAAGTGGATGCCACGAATTTGCCTTAATAAACACAGTGTTTACTGTAATGCTATTTATGTGCAGTAAACAAATGAAGTAAGAATCTAATAGCTCATTTAATCATGGAAATCATGTAATTGGTACAGCAATGAAAGGACAATTCATGAGTCATAGATATTACCACACCTTAGAAGCCTTTTAAGAAGTGTTTGATGCCAAGTGACTTCAGTGTAGAAAAGGCGGTAGGTAGCTCCTTGTGACACAGCCTGAGGGCTCTCCTTGTGTTTATAAAATGGCCAGTATGTAATTAGACTTTGACAATGGTGTAACAATGGCGTTCTAAGTATTCTCACTTAGATTTGATACCATTTTGAATGGATGGCCATGATTTTTAAGTTTAAATTGAAAATAAAACATTACAGATGTAATAAAACACAAATCATTCTTTATATAATTATAAAATTGACTTTATTCATCCACGCATTGATTCTCAGAAATGACCATCTGTGATACTGAAAAAGGTAATTTTTAGATCTTGCATCATTGGAACTGTTATTTTTCAACCACAAGATGCCTGTACAACAGGATAATAACTACACATGTGCCATGGCCTTTGCTTGTTTTTCCAAATTCCAGTATTTGTTGATTTTCCAAAAACCCTGCTTGGGCCCCTTTGTCCTGTAGCACACATCTATTAGAAGGCAGGCCTGGGGTAAGAGCTGAAGACATGAACTGGAACAAGGCAAATCAGCACATTCAGGGCAAAAACCTGAACCCCATGACTATATTCTGCCCAAGCAAATATATTTTGTTTCGCTTGTTTTTGAGCTGGTCATTTTCTGCACTCTGAGATCCGAGAGCTGGTCTTGTAAATGCTATCAATGCTCAATAAATATTTAATGCTTGATTGTTTGTAAAATCATTTGGAAGATTATATCATTAGGAAATGCAGTTGTGGCAGCATG